CTCTTACACCTGCTCATTTAATTTTCTCATCCTTTCCTTCATGTTAGTTCTTAAAAGTCTCAGCAAAACAAGGAAGGACTATTATTCACATTTTATCAAAGATTAAGTTAAAACCCAGGAAAGTCACCTGGGTGATTAGTGGAAAATCTTAAATAAAAATCCATATCTCCTCACTCCTTATTCCTATCCCAGGACTTTTTGCTATATGCCATGACTAGAACTTATTGAATATTCATCTATTCATGGGATAGGAGTTAGATGGTGTTTGGGAACCTCCGCCTAGTCTCTTTGCTAAAATGTAACAAGAGTCACCTTTACTCCAGTTCCCAATAAGTTCCTCATCTTCATCTGAGACCACCTCAGCCTGGACCTTATTGTCCATATCATTATCAGCATTTTGGGCAAAGCCATTCGATAAGTCTCTAGGAAGTTCCAAACTTTCCCACATTTTCCTGTCTTATTCTGAGCCATCCAAACCGTTCCAACCTCTGCCTGTTACCCAGTTCCAAAGTCATTTCCACATTTTGAGGTATCTTTTCAGCAACATCCCACTTCCGGTTCCAATTTACTATATTAGTCTGTTTTCACACTGCTGATAAAGTCATACCCGAGACTGGGAAGAAAATGACGTTTAATTGGAATTACAGTTCCAAATGGCTGGAGAGGACTCAGAATCATGGCGGGAGGCAAAAGGCACTTCTTACGTGGCAGTGGCAAGAGAAAATGAGGAAGAAGCAGGAGAAAATGAGGAAGAAGAAAAGTAGGAACCCCTGTTAAACCCATCATGTCTCATGAGACTTATTCACTATCATGAGAATAGCAGAGGAAAGACTGGTCCCCATGACTCAATTACCTTCCCCTGGGTCCCTCCCACAACACGTGTGAATATGGGAGATACAATTCAAGTTGAGATTTGGGTGGGGGTACAGTCAAACCATATCAGATGGATAGAGAGAAAGAGAGAGACAAAGACAGAGACAGAGATGGGGGACAGGGGTATCTTCAGCTCCCCTAGGTAATTCAAAGTGATAGACAATCCATACCTTCATTTGACATGGCAAAATATAAACATATTCAATGAAGATAACATTTACTTTGTTAGCATTTCCCAAACATTCACCACCCACTTGGCTTGCAGAGGTGTTAAGAGATAAGGATATTTTGGCAGGAGGTTTTTAACTTCCCAGAACAGCCGTATTGTGCAAGGTCAAGGTTGGGTCTGCATTGCTGATATAGTTTTATTTGGTAACAGAAGGAAGAAAACTCAGAGTTTTTCTTTAGGTCTAAATTTTATATCTCTTGTATCTTTCTCCAGTCTGTTCCCCACAATGCCACGCCATAATTATCACAAAGTGGCGCCTCTGGTGAGGTCACTGTGTGCCAAGCATGGATTGCAGTATGTGAATAAACCCATGTTGAGGGCGTTTGGAGATATTGTCAGGTAATAACATAATTTCTCTTGGCTCACAGCTCTCATTTGTCTTTACTGCCACTCCCCAGACTATTCAGTGGCTTATGAATCATTCATTTAACAACCATTTATTAAGGGTCACCTGTGTGCTCAGTGTGGCTACGCGGCACCATAGGGAACCGTATCAACAACAACAAAATAATGATAATACTGACCTTTTACCTATAGGTACAGCTTAGTGAAAATGCTTTACTGTCCTACTAAATTTCAAATTTCTTAAAATCAAGGCTGTATATTATTTGCCTTTCTATCCCCCACAGAGCTTCCTACATGTGTTAGAATTTAAGTAGTGGGAGGAACTGTCAGATCATCTGGTCCAGTGTTGCAAATTTAGAAGCCTGCAGGGTCCAGTGGGGTATAAATGTGCAGCTCAGGCTGGGGTGATTAATTAAGAGTAGTGAGGCATGCAGAAACTGAAAATCCATACTTATCCTTAGGCATTCACATACAATTTCCTAAAGAATGTTGTGCTGGTTAAATTAACAACCAGTAATCTGGGTTTAATAACTTTCTCTTTAGTTTAGGATTGAAAAAAAAAAAAAACATCTCAAATGAGGCCAACAAGGCCAGGCCTGATCTGATCTGATCCCTGACCAGTGCTCCAGCTTCAGACTCTCCACCACACTCCTCTTTCTCTGTCCCCCAGATAATTTCCTCCAGAAATTAGTGCAATTGGCCTACCTTAAGTTGCCGTGAAATTCCCTTCCCTAGTTGTCTTATCGTTTTGCCACTTTTTCTTCTGCCTGGAATGTTCCCCCAAACCTCTACCTCCCTTGACATCATCTTGTCAATTGCCATTCTTTCTCCAAGGCTCAATTCAAATGCCTTTTCCTCATGTCTATCTCCTCTGACCCCAAAACTAAATTAGTCGCCTGCTCTTGCAGCACCTGGTTCTCTTCATTTGTGAAGTTTATCACAATTGTATTCAAATAACATATTGGGTAATAAATTATTTAATATGTATCTCCCAAGCTAGACCAGGAATTTCATGTGGACAGGACTCACATCTACCCTACTCATTGCTGTACCACCAGAGCCTAGAAAAATGTCCTCCATATTATAAAATAGGGTTGATAGATAAATATAGGATGGGTGGATTTACAGGTATATAGGCTCAGAAAAGAATAAAATGAAAGAAAATCTCAATGTTCTCCATAAAGGAAAGGTGAATTCACCTGCTAAAAACAATTCAGTCAACAGAATTGGTCAACAGAGGATGACATTTATCAGATGTAGCTGAAAATGACAACATTGTTCTGAACCAGGCAGAGGAGCAAATTCCATTTAAGAGCTTTCTTAACATTACAGTCTCACCTCCTGATGATCTTGTTTATTCCTTCCACAGAGCCTTGAAGAAATCTGCAGCCCTCTGGGTGGATGCTTACTATGAAACATGATGCCAAATGTCAGCCTTGATACACATGTAATTGCATCTCTGATGAGGGTTGGTGCATGTGTAGGAGCTCTTCCCTGCTTAACTGGGAATTAGTTATCACCATTGGTATACCTGACTGTGCTGTTCTAGGAATGTGAATCCCAAGCACATGTGATAACCCCTTCCCTAAAAGTCTTCTTTGCAAGTAACAACCTAGGAAACACAAGATGACATTGACCAGGGTTATAAAAGGGAAACAGAGCCCAAAATTTTTGTTTTTTCACTAGAACCTTAAACTCAGTCCTCCCAATAGACCTTAGTCAGATCATCTCAGTCAAGGGTCAGAAGTACAAGAACCAGGCAAAAGTTTTATGGATGAAGTGGACAAAGGGAGAAGTTGGCCAAAAGAGAGCCATCTAACAGGGTACTTTGGAAATTAGTGCAATTGCTCTTAGAAAAGAATCATATGTGTAAGAAGTTCCTCTTGAAGCACAAACGTTTTTTACTTATTTCTTTTCATATGTGTGAACTTCTTTTTCTTTAAAAATTGAATATAATTAACATTAAAATTTCTTCAAATATTTCAATATTGACTTCAGATCTTCATTATTGTAACTGCATATGTGTCATTAATGTATATATACATTTTCTTTCCAAGTAGACAAATTAAAATATCTATGAAATATCTTAAAAGAACTTCCTACATCTAGTCCTAATAGCAACAGATCAAGCAGGTTAATGTTCTGTATTTAAAGACGTGTTGTGTTTCACTAAAGAATAGACTGTGTTTTAAGTATAAGATTTTGTTGCCTACTCCCTACCCACCATGCAGAACTACTGTACTTTGTAATTGAGTTACCCGGATGAAAGAAAGAGTTCTGTTTTCTCTAAAGGAAACTCCAGGCATTGATAAGGCAGTTTTCAAGTTTGACACCAAAGTAAGCATGTCTTAGAACAAGAGGGCTTTCTCTCTCACAAGAGAGGGTTTTAGTGCTAGAAGGATAAGTGGACACTCTTAGTAACATGCTGATCTCTAGTGTCTAAACTTTTATTACAGGTTACCTTAGCTGCAGAAAGCACAATAATGCAAGCTTGCTTCCCCAGCTCCAAGCAAGTCGGTGCTACTGGATTAGCTGTTGCCTGAAATTCTACCAGTATATATTCATTCCCTTACTCCAAGCTCTGCAAAATACTCTTTTAGCTTTGTTTGTTTCTCAATTAAACCCCTACTAGAAAATAACACATGAAATCACTCATAGCTCCTGGGGACTTAGCCACACATGTCAAAGTTAGGAAAACAAAAACTGGTTGTCTGGGAGGAAGAGGCATTATTAAAATGATAATGGCTAATATCAAATAGGAAAGTTGAGGAGGAGACGAAAAGAATAAAAAGCTATTTTGACTTCATGGCTCTTCATAATAGGCAGGCAAATGCCCATATTCCTCCTGCTGGTGGATTTCAGATGATTTCTCCTGCCTCAGTTCAGGGTTACAAGTGGGAGTGGGCTCGATGGTTGGCTTTTTCTGTCTCCCCTGGTCCAAACCAGAGACTCTCAAGCACTGCTTGTTCTCCTGATTACTTAGAAATAGCAACCCGACTCTCCTTGGGCAAATTTACTATCTCAAACGTGTTCCCCACTCAGTGTTAAAAATAGCCCACTTTGTAAATCTCCAAACATACTTGATTACTGTGTAATTTGAAGAAAGTTGGGATATTTAGACAGATTATATAAGGAAACATGGAATCAAAAAAGGTGCTTGGGTCAGACTCACATTTGTAATCTCAACATTTGGGAGGCCAAGGCAGGAGGATCTCTTGAGTCCAGATGTTCAATACCAGCTTGGGCAACATAGAGATTTTTTGAGCAACTAGAGGGTTTTTTTTTTTTTTTTAAGAGATTCTGTCTCTAAAATAAATAAATAAATAAAATTCAAAATTCAAAAAAGGTGCTAGACTATCCTATTCTGGGCTCTTCTTTGCTGGGAGGTTTTTGATTACTGCTTTACTGTGATCATTATTGACCTGTTCAGGTTTTCTTTCTTCATGATTCAGTCTTGGTAGGTTGTATGTTTCTAGGAATTTATCCATATATTCTAGGTTACTCAGTTCGTTTGTGCATAGTTGTTCACAGTAGGCTCTTATGATCCTTTGTATTTCTATGGTTTACAAAAATGTACAAACTCAACCATGTGTTGTTTAAGGATTCGTAAATATGTAGTAACGTGATAAAGAGAAGAAAGAGAATAGTAAACACCAAAAGGAGGATCACAGTAGGGGAAATGTGCTAGGTAAGAATGAAAATGTATCAGTAAGGTACATTTTAATTTGCTTAGTAGGTTGTTAGTTAATTAAAATCATCATTTTTCTGAATTCACTATCTCAACTGTTGTCTCTCTCTCACCCTGTGGTGACTGGCATTTACACTTGGTGAAGCATTAGCCATATTGTTATTGTTTATTCAATACACTTTCCAGAGGAGGAGAACCAAAGCCTACTGCTTTCACAGCTTTGAATACCACTTAGCACTGAGTTAAATTCAGATGACTGATCCTGCAGGTCATTTTATTTCTAACCTTCAGGCTATAGGGCTCCACTTTATGGGCATAGGAATGAAAGTGGCTTCATCAACCAGGCTCATGTCTCTTTCCACTAAGTGACTCCTGGCAGTTATGTTATAGCCCTATCTGAAACTCTTCAATGGATTCCTATGACTCTTAGAATAAAGTCCAAACCCCAAGACTGCCCCATGGCCACTACCCACCTTGTACCACTCTGGCTCTTGCTATCTCTGTTTCAGCCCACTGGCTCTCTTCAGGTCTTCACACTCTTTTCTGCCACAGGCTCTTTGCTCCTGATCCCAATGGCTGAACCATTTTGTCAACTCTCTTGCTCTCACTCCATCTCACTTGGTCAATCTGCCACTCACTTTCAGATCTCAGCACTATTATCACGTCTCAGTATAGCTTTACCCACTATCCCAGAGTGCTTCCTCACTAAGTCAAGGCTTCCTGTGATATACTCTGTAGCAATTACAGTGGGTATAATTTTACATTAATTTATGTGGTGTGTTAATTTGTTTGTCTCCCTTTCTAGCCTGCAATATCCATGAAGCAAGGATTTCTTGACATGTTAGAGACACTCAGTAAAGATATGCTAAATGGAAAAAGAAATGAATGGATGGATGGATGCTAATTCTAAGAGGCTACAGAAAAAAATGTCCTCCTTGGCCTCTCTCATGGAAAGCTATCCTTTTGTTTAACAGCTCACCAAAAGAAACTTCTCCTGCTCCTTCATTTTTATGTCTGTACCTTAAGCTTATACTGTTTACCTAGAAAACCATTTAACGTTTTCTTATTGCAAGAATTTTCTGATTCCAAAAATATGTTTATGTAATTTCTTCCAATTAGATAGATAAATTTAATTAAATATATGAGAATAATTCCATATTCTAATTTTGATTTTTTTTTAATTTTATCATGGTAAAAACACTTATTATGACATCTATCCTATTAACATTTTTAAGTGTACAATACAATATTGTTTTCTATAGGCAGAATATTGCGAAGTCGATCTCTAGAAATTATTCCTCTTGCATAACTGAAATTTTATACCTGTTGATTGGCACTTCCCATTTCCCCTTCCTCCAGTCCCTAGCAACCACCATTCTATTTTTTCTTTTTGTGAGTTTGACTATTTTAGATACCTCATGTAAAGAGAGTCATACAGCCTTTAAGGTTAATTTATATTGTTGCTATTATAAGATTTCCTTTTTTCTTAAAGCTGAATAATATCCCATTGTATGTATATACCACATCTTTAATTCATTTACCCATTGATGGACATTTAGATTCTTTCCTTACTGTGCCTATCGTGAATGATGTTGCAATGAATATGAGAATGCTAATATATCTCTGAGATTCTGATTTCAGTTTTTTTGATAAATATCCAGAAGTAGGATTGCTAGATAAAATTCTCACCAATATTTATAAGGATCTACCATCAATAAGTACTGATATATACCCTTCATGGGCATTATTCCATTTAATCCTCAAAACAGGCCCATTGGGCACAGGTACTGTAATTACCTTCATTTTTTTAGATATAAAACCTGAGGCTTAAGGAAGCCAAGCAATTTGCCTGAAGTTGCAGGTAGAAACTGGTAGAGTAGAGTTTCAGACCCAGGAATATCTGACTCCACCATCAACGCTCTTTAATTCCCATGCCAGGAAATCCAAAGTAAAAGACAAGAAAGTGGCATATATTCAAGCCAGGGAAAATTCATCTTCTTTACAGCTATCACAAGGAAGTGGCATAAATTCAAGCCAGGAAAAATTCATCTTCTTTACAGCTATCTTCATATGACTTTCCCTGATCCTGTTTTCTCTAAAACTTTACTCTTCTTGACAGAATTATGTAGTGAGAATTTGCCGGCATTTTTAGTTGGACATCAAGTAAGAGTGCCTGGATTCGAAGTCAGAGGTCTAGACTCTAATTTCAGTTTATTAACTTAGTATCCTACAGTGAACTTGGCCATGTTACTTACACGCTCCGTACCTCAATCCCCACATTTGTATAGGTGTGATGCACAATATTTCCTGGCGTATGTGCATCATAGAATGATTGTGACAATTACGTGAAGTAAGACAAATGGAATGGTTTTATAAGCTGGCAACACCCATTCACATTATAGTTAGTGATGTTCTATAATGAGAGTTCTTCCCATCCTAAATCCACAAAAAGCATGAAAGGCCACAGAGTCACCGAGACCTACGGGATGGAAAGACACTGAATCATTTTAACAATGACAGAGTACCTTTCCCCAGAGGCTTATGAGAGGCGTATGAGTCACAAATGAAAAAATGATTTCTCCTGTTGCAACAAGTAACATCCATGAGTCATCTTGCACCTTTGACTGTAATTAATCCCCTGGTACCCGCCTGCAGATCTCAGAGGCTGTGGGGCAGGTAGTGGAAAGCCGAGATTCTGGTTATCCAAACTTCTGATTAACCATGTGAGTGCAC